GGTCATTTGTCACAGAAAAGTTTTATTATCAGTGATTGAAACCTGTTATCAAATCAACACAAATGATGCCTGGCTTAACAAACAGGCTAGCAAAAATTGACGGAAAATGATAGCAGGGTAGCAGCTCCAGTACAATCAAATCAGATCATCATGAAAGGCAGTGAAGCATGTTTCTCCTAATGGGGGTCAGTTTGCAGTCTGACCAGCTTCATTAAATAACAAGCTGTATTTTAACCCAGTGAAAACAAGTACAAACCGTTACCATCTACCCCAGCAATGCATTGCACTCACATCATTTTTGCTGGTTGTGTAACATCTAGTATGTTAAGAGAAGGCACAGATGCTCTGAATCTCCTTCTGCCTCAGCACACTACTTGACCTTATGTAAGATCTCTGTATATGAACAGCAGTAACTGGAAAGGATGATATAGCTTTATTAGTAGTACTGGATGCCAGTGGTCAACTCTTAGAAAACAGTTACCTTCTATCACACAGAATGTCTTTTAGCCAATTTTGTAGCAATTTCATTTGCTACAGCCTTTACTAAGCTAAGACTAAAATGAAGAGGAAACTTACTGAATTTGAGATGAGGATAAAATTCCACAGGGAATTTTTAAAGACCTAACTAGAGTTCAAAAATAAAAATGTTAGCAACATACCTAAGACTAAGTTTCCATTAATCCCTTTAAAACAAAGGAGTCCAAATATGTTAATGTACTTGGATGTACCTACTCCTGACAGTATTTGTCAAAGGTTACTTAAACAACGTCATTTTACATCTTAGAGTCATTGTAACAAATGTGTACATACAAATAACTTATTGCCAGTGTCTTAAAAACAAAACAAAATGAACAAAAGAAATGTTTGCTACTTATATTGGAAAATTCTCCTGCTCAGATGAAATCTTGCCAGCATTCATAGCCAAATATAAAATAAAAAAAATAAAAACATTAACTACTCTCATCTGGTCTCTTAGCACTACCAAAATAACCATCCAAAACAAGGTTAAATAGATCTTATTTTGCTCAAATAGAAACACATGAGGAGAGAGCATTCACAACTGGAATTTCAAACTTACTGTACAAATCTACTATCATCACCTGCTACAGGACAAGGTTCTACTTTGTGTAAGAAACCAACAACAAGAAAATTCATTTTTTACAGGAACTGACCAAAATTAACAAGTTAATTTCTTCTGACTGTTGCTAACAGATTTGATAGTGACCTACATACTTCAGTCCTTAAATGACACATCTTCTAGCAACAGAAAGAATCCACTGACTGTTGGTACTGCAGTCTTCTCATAGCATACTATGCCTCATTTATTTCAAGCCACTCATGATATCAGCTTCATTTCTTCCCCTCAGCATTTGTTCTCAAACCTGTTACAAACTGGTCCCTAGACAGAGCCACCTCATCCACCCAGGTGATGTCAAATTTTACCATCTTTCATCTTTATCTTTTTCTATGAAGCCAAGACACTAATCTCTGCTACTCCAAACAGACTCTGCTTCCCTGGTAAGTCTTTCTTTGATCTGCTCCAGTTTGTCTTTTGCTTTCAGGACTACAATCTCCTTCAGACAGAAGTCACCATTATCTGGCTGTGCCCTATCTAACTCACTGAACATAGAGATGGAAACTCAGCAAGAAGTTGGACTACTTGATCCAGTTTCATTTAAGTCAAGCCCTGAGGCTTCTGCACAGCTTTTCAAGTCTTTCACAAAAGAACTTAATTTACTCTTACTAGACCAGATATACAATTTTGAGTCCTTCCTACAGAAAAAAGCCCAAACATTTTCTGTGGTATTTATATCCCTTGTAAAAAAGTATGTAACTCCAACAAGTTCTAGCCACTAAAAATGACCATTAATATAAATCTTTGCATGTATATCAATTTGAGATTGCTCATCATCAGATTAATATAGAAGTTGTTCATCAAAGATCCTTCATAATCTAATCTGGAGTCCAGACTGGTCATCAAATAGATAAAATACTTGAGATATTGAAATGCAAGGGCCAGGCCAAAGTCTGAAGGGCTACAGGGACAAAACTACTACATATAGATTATGGGGGAGAGAGGGAGTAAGATAATAGATGGGGCTAGAAGGGGAGCGAGGAGGACTGTAGATTCCTGTTTCACTTAATTGTTTTACCTCCCACAGGAAAGGGGATTAACCTAGAGTCTTCGCAGCATGACGTGTGCATTAAACCTCTGAATTACAGAACACCTGCTACACATGGCTTAGACTGGAGTACATACAGGGAAAATGTAGCAGAACAGATAAGCACATGAAGAGCTGCTTATGACTCCAGACTGCCAAAGCACCAAGGTTTCAGGTAACAGCTATTCAGTTGCTTGCCATTTTCCAGGTAAAATGATAGGAGAAAAGGATAGCCATGTCAATAGAGGATGTTGCAAAATAGTGGAAAAACTCCAACAGGTTGACCTGATTTGATCAGCTAAATCTAGATCCATGTAATTTTGTCCCCTTCCCCAATTTTTGTGCTTAATGCCTTACTGCAAGACCAGAGCACAGCTTATGGATATGTGGTTGTAACCTAACCATGCAACAAGAATCATTGCTCTATGGATTCACCAGGTGGTTTTTTGCCATCAATCTTCAATCATCAAACTGGGGCATTAAATATCAGGTTATGGTACTAAGCAATATCTATCTCAAACCATTTGCTTTGGAAAGTTACTGTACCACATACAAACTGTACATACCATTAAAAAAAAATCTGTGATAAAAGGAATGTAAGACATTACAAAACTGAAGAAGGGAATCTCTAATACTCCAACCCCAGAATTAATTTCTGCTTCTAGAGGTAGATGCCCCACAGAACACTACAGTTTATTATGTAAACTCAAAACATTGAAAATACACAAAACACATACCTCTATGCCAGCACTTATTTATAGATCCTTGGTTGATTGCATATAGCTACGGTAAGGCTTCTGAAAAGAGCAACTAGAATTTGTGCCAGCACTCTACAACTTTCAAGTAGTAAACATTTGGAAAATACTACCTTTATGGTCTTCACTGAAACAGATGGTTTTCATTGAATTTAAAAAAAAGTGAAACAAGAATATCACTTAAAGCCTCAGCTCCTAAACACAACTATTTTTAATGCATATTTTCAAAGGAGTTGACCTCCTTGGCAGGGGACAATTTAGCCTCCTTTCAGCCTATTCCATGAAAAATTGCTGCCTAAGTCCTTACTTGTATTTGTATTTCTGTGTTCACACCACCCCCTAGTGATTGCTGCATTACATTAAATAGCATGACTCCTCTCCTTTGATGTTGATCATTATATATGGAAAGGCTTTACTGCAGGTACTACCTTTGAAACAGGTTTAGATTCTAACTCTGAAACTTAAGTGCATTACAATTGCTCCACATCCAATATTTTCAGTCATCATAAATTTAGTCACTAACTCAAAACATACTCAAGAGTTCAGTGCACATACTGTATTAAGTCCCCATTCCCACTTTTAATAACCCTCTAGTAATTCTTATGTTATGGGAACTTCCCAGTCTGACCACCCATGAGTCTGGCAGACACACTCCCAACACCAGAGACTTTCCCACTGGCACCAAAGTCCCTTCCCAGCAGCAGCTCCCGTGAGCCGATGGGTGTGCCCCATGACTCCCTGCACACCCTCACACAGTTACACCAGGTTTCCTTACCAGTTCGACCCCAGGTTTCCCTTAGCACAGTCTTCGATGCCTCATTCCACAAAGCAGTTTATTCACAGCACAGTAACACACGAACAGCTCGAGCTGGTGCCTCCAAGGAGGGACCCCAAACAAAGGAACCCCTGGGCTTTTATCCCCTCACTGCATCTGAGCACAGATTAGTCTCCAGTCAAGGAATGTGCTTCAACAGCACAGGCTGTCCCTCCCAACCCAGAGATGGAAAGCAACAGGCTACCAACAGCCTGATAAACCTTGTCAGATAAAGATTTAGGAAGAATATACAGAAAACCTATTTTTCCCAATACATTTCCTCAGCTCATCTTGGCTCTTCTTTCCAAGTCCTCGGTTCCTGCTTTGTCTGTCCATTCACCTGGTCGGGC